TTCTTATATTGCTTTTATTTATTATCATTTATGGTTCTCTAAATAGAAATGGTGTTGCAAAATCTTTCAAAACATATCATGTCTAAAGTTTCATTTTCTGTCTCCTTCCTTTGAATTCTGTGGACAATTAGAATTCCTTGTCTTTGAGGTGACACTGGGGCCTCTGCTTTAAAATAATGAAACAAAACTTTCAGATTGTGTAATCATTTTGGTTTTTCAGTTTCCCCATTTTGAAATGAAGAAATATAGCTAGAAGAGCAGCTGAGTTACTTACACCATAATCACAGCTGACTGCAAGCTGTATCTTGAAAAATGGATAGTGTCCAAATGCTTTCAGGAGGCCAAAATCATGTCCACACAATTGCAATGTTATTTTGATATTACCAGAGATGGCTAAGCTATTTTTTTGAGACTAGTCTTCCACAGTAACAAGATAAATAATTCCAACTTTCAGTTAGAATGGATTAGCTAGTTACATGCAATGAACATCACATATAGCAAACACTAGTTGTAAAAATAGGTATTTGTGCATTGTTGTGTGCATTATCAAATGTTTTACATTCACAACTTTGACACCAAGAAAAATACCATGAATTTTTAAAATTAGGCACAACTGCTTAAACAATAAAGGAAAAAACAAGCAAACATAGAACAATACTCCTTTAATATTAAGTAGATAATTGTTCTTTTACACTTATGGGAGTAAGACAAAATTATTACACAAATGAGTAATTGTAGATCTCTATCCCTGGAGGTAAATACATGCTAATTACATTATGTAAATAAATATAATAATCTCTGGGTATTGTAAAGTTTCTAAATGAGGAAGCTAAAAAAACCATCTAAAATATATGTATTTAAAAATAACAGATCAAAACTAAGTATCTCTTTAACCCTCTTCACCCAAATCATTTGTTTTTATTACCTTAATAAAAGATGTTAAATGGGGAAACTCATTTATTTTAATCAATTTGTTTTCTTACAAAATGGTAATTCCTAGAAAATGGAAATATTACTGTTTCTGAAATATTGATTTTCGAATAGCTTTGTTCAGACTTCATATGTTCAGAAGCCTACAGAAGAAATTTTTAAAAAATTCATATAAGGGGGCTGAGAAGGTGGCTCAGTGGTAGAGTGCTTGCCTTGCATGCCTGAGGCCCTGGGTTCGATTCCTCAGCACCACATAAGCAAAAAAAGAAAAAAAGCCGGAAGTGGCGCTGTGGCTCAAGTGGTAGAGCACTAGCCTTGAGCTGAAGAGCCCAGAGTTCAGGCCCCATGACCAGACCCCCCAAAAAAATTCATATAAGATATTTAGGATGTTTCAGTTCAAGGAGAGAGAAAAGAAGCCAAAACTAATGTTGTTCCATATCAGATTGAAACACTCTGTAGGAAACTCTTAGAATACTCCATCTGGAGTATAGTTTATGCCATCTTTTGAGAAGTGCTTCCAATGCAAAGATCCTGTTTATAACTGAATTAAAATGGCTCAACTCCACCTCCTCCTTCAGTATCACCACAAATGCTGCTGCATATGTATTAATTTATACATCTATAAAGATTTTTAAACCTATAAATCAAAATACTAAAAATTATTACCTGTAAATAATTGTGTCCACAAAATTCCATTTACAAGATAAATTTCATGAGCCATTTTCTATTTATCAATATCGGTATCACCTCCTATTCTGATGAGGGGAAACAGATACCTGCCAACTAAAAATCACTGCAAAGATTTCACAGTAACTCTTAAAGGAACAAATATGAAGGACTTCCCAAAGGAGTATGTTGTATACCAGTTTAAGAAAATAGCTAGGCATCACATTAATTTACATTATTTTATTTCTGGTTTAGGTTTTTAGGTTGAACTTGGGGCCTTACACTAGGGAGCAAGTGCTTATTTTCATTCCTAGACTAAATCTCCTGATTTTCCATAAAACCACATACATTTTTCTGCTAAAATTTGGGTTGAAAATAGACTTGTATCTTTGAGAGAAAAAAATGATTAGTGTAGAATTGTAATATTCTCCAAATTTTGAAGGTTCTTGAGAATAAATTGTGCATATAGTTCACTCTAGGTAAAATTTTTAGACATTTTCCCCCATTTTTGCATTTGATGTATACAGTTCTTGAGTTTAGAATTCCTACATTTAATATAAAAGTATTTTTATTTTATAGTGACTGTACATATCATCACCATATTTATTTATTCTGTTACACTAAATATTATAAGACCATTCACTAGTAATAGTCATATTCTTATATAATTTGTTAAAATGACAAACAGCTTAGCTTTTCCAAATGTAAAGCTTTAAATGATCGATAAAATTATTGTGAAAATAAAATTTAGAAGTCTTCATCAAAATTTATTTTGTGTTTAGAATTTTAGAGAGGCTCTTGTTTTAAGGTCTTAATTTTTAAAGAGAAGATCTGCTAAAGAATAGACTGACTGTCAGCTGGGTATGGTGGCGCACATCTGTAATCCTAGCTACTCAAGAAGCTGAGATTTGAGGATGGTGGTTCAAAGCCAGCCTAGGCATGAAAGTCTGTGAGACTCTTATCTCCAATAAACCACCAGAAAACTGGAAGTGGTGCTGTGGCTCCAGTGGTAGAGTGCTTGTCTTGAGCTGAAGAGCTGAGGGATAGCACCCAGGCTCAGAGTTCAGGACCCAAGACCGACCAAAAAAAAAAAAAAGAAGAAGAAAAAAAAAAAAATAGACTGTCATTTTGATGTTAGGTTTGGATTAGTTCACAAAGTAACAAAGGTGAAAAAGTCTTAATGAATAAAGGATTTAGAATCATTGCTTTAAATGTTGATTCTATTCATGGAAGTAGGTCACTTTTACTTACTAAAATGAATGCTTTTGTGAAAGGCACTTAAGTAGTAACAGCACCTTCTCTTCAGGGTAATTATGGAGAAGAAATAAAGTGGTGTATGCTTGGACATCAGCAGAAAGCAAGCAATAGATATTGACTTTTATCTATCTATACCTGTTTCCTTGTTGAATTGCCACTGAATGGTCAAGTCAGTTAAATAACTTTTGTATAGCTAATCAATAAGGTTGACATTTGATAGGTAGGAACCTTCATACATATGTGAGAAAGTGTACTGTTTGGGGCATGGCAATTGATAATTTCTGTACAACTAGGATTCCATCATCAACATGCCACAGACCCTCGGTTACTGACTTTCATCAGAGTGAGCTTCATCATGCTCTATTAGCTTTTTCCCCCTCTGTCCTCATCATTTAAAAGGTATCCTTTAAATGTTCTCCCTGTTTTCCAGAAAACAAGAATTAGGATACATGTCTACCAATAGTTTGGACACACCAGTTGAATTCTCTGGTTTCCAAATTCCTTATTTGTCTGAAAAGGACCCTACAAATCATTTTATTAAGAGCTGTCTTAGCCAGGTACCAGTGGCTGATGCTTGTAATCCTAGTCACTCAAAAGGCTGGGATCAGAAGATGGTGGTTCAAAGCCAGCCTGGGCAGGAAAGTCCATGAGACTCTTGTCTCCAATTCAACACCAAAAAGCCTGAAATGGAGCTGCTGTGGCTTGTTTGGTAGAACTCCTTATGTAAATATCATTAAGATCTGTCAAGAACTGACCAAAGAAAAACAGCTCTGTAGATAGCGTCTGTAAAATTGACTAAGGTTTGAATCATGTCTTAATTCCCCTTAGCCATGCAAGGGCCCTTTTGACTCACCTCTGTAGTCACAAGCATGCCAGATATAGCTTTTACACGTGCATTTCTAGTCATGTGGTCCACTGTTGGCAAATCTTGGATTTTTCAACACACATAGACTAGGATTTTGTCATAGATTATCCCAGCATTTTCTCCTTAATCAGCTTTAAAAATGAAGAAACTGTTGAAAACTTCATAGAAATTCCTTTATATTTTTCTTTACCACTAGTGTGTACCTTCAATTTCAAGTAAGTTTTTATCATTGAGAACAAAGTAAAATACCCTATTAAATACACAAAATTATAGACTATTTTCTATATGAAACTGTACTTTACGATGCTAATAACTGAAGCTAAGCCAAAAACATGTGAATTATGAATGATTTATAGATGCTATTGACTTAGAACATAGTGCATATATTCCAAGAATGTGTTAAAATCTTTTCATTTTCCACTAGCTTATGAGGATGAAGATCATATTACTCCCTTGGATGGGGGAAGCTATAATGACCTATTGGATAAAATTGAAATTTCCTGGCCTGTCTTTCAAAACCCTTTACATTCCAGTCCAAATACTACAACTTCAGTTTCCAGGCTTCTCAGTAGCCTCCACTCCAACCTCTCAGTGGCTCTTATTCCACTTCAAGGGGTCTGCATTTTCAGACATCTGCCTCTGCTCAGGCTCAGGCAAAAGGGATGTTCTTTCTGATATCCAGTCTACTTGCCAAACTCCCATTCCATATTTCAAGATTCAAGTGAAGTGTTGCCTATCTTCATAAATCTCTCTGCATTCTTTCATCAGGCATCACACATTTCTTCTTTTACCTGTGTTCCCATTCCTAGTATATACTCTACTATTTATTATTATTAATTACTTTACCCATCACTGATAACCTTTCTGGAGCGACAGCCATGATTTTACTATAGATTTTATTATTATTTATTTTATAGTGACTGTACATATCATCACCATGTTTTTCTCATTTGAGTTACACTAAATACCTAACATCAATAACACTCAAATACAAGCTTGCCAACAGAAACAGAAACATTTGTATGTTTCAAAAAGGAAATATCCTGACTTAGATAAAACATGTTATCATTTGTTATATAATTTGTAAAGTACAAAAAAAAACAGAAAGGAAATTAAATTCACTCATAACCAAGTTCCTTGAGAGATAGTTATTGTTAACAATTTAATGTACCTATTTCCAGCAAAAGACTGGGTTAAAAAGAGGTCTGCCTTTTTTTTTTTTAATTACAGAATTTCCTACATGGCCTAAAAGCTTATCTTAACTTTGTTGTTTCTTTGTTAGCTCACAGAGAGAATAATTGTCCTATTTGGGGTGATCACCAGTCAAGAGGAAATTCAAGAGAAATATGTGGTGTGTGTTTTATTCATCTTTTGGAATCTGTTGGATATGGTTAGGTAAGAAAGCAAAAATAATCTCTTAAAACAAGGCCAAATTGCTTTTTGCAATGAAACCAGTAATAGATGCTTACATTCGGTTCCTCTGAATGAAACTCAAAAACATAACCTCTTTTCAAATTATTTTATCTTGATATGGAAATGGATTTTTAGTGCTTTTTATAATAGTCATATCAAAGATAATAAAAACCTACCATGGTTTTACAAGAGCAAATCAGTGCCTTCAGGTTTCCAGCACAAGGCTTGGCATAATACCAACTTGGAATAACCCTCACAGCTGCTTGCTAATGAAAGGCATTCCTTACCATTGCTCGACTGCACGTTATTTTAATAAGCAAAGCAGGACTTTTATTGTATCATTGTCAGGATTTACAAAGTTGGTTTCTGTGAGTTCCAGAATATTTTAAACATAAGACTTATGTCTAGGAGTTTGGGGGGTGTACTTCACATCCATTTTAGTATGAAGTCTCAGTGGGTTCAATAATTAAAAAGCCTTTTTGTGCCCCCCATGGGAATTCTTGCTATAGCTAGTACTTTGCAGTGACATGTGCCTGGTCTCTACCAGCAATGGTGTGAGACAGGCCTCCTACTCACACCTTGCATTGCAGAAGTGTCCCTACTGCTACTTGGGCTTTCACAAATAAGCACTGTCTCCCCTACCAGAAAAATCTGGATGTGAATAGGTCACCAAAGTCCTCTATTTTTAAAAGTAAGGTTGTGTCAATTCTGTATTTATTGCATTCTTAATAACTTGGCTGGGTTAAACATGTCTAAATAATGAGTTAATCCCTAGAGAGAATTATAATGAAATTTTTGCTAAATTAAAACGACTATAATTCTTTTTTACATGTAACTTAGTAGTTATTTCTCATTTTAAAAATAGTTTTGTGGACAAAGAGCAAACTTCATGGATTCTTATAGCCCCTGGCTTCCTATTTACAAGACACGAGAGCCTCATTGGGGACCAAAGCTTTCCAATATACTAGAATGTAGGTCTGCCTGATGTTTCTGGTATTGATTCAGTCTCAGATAAACTCAAAAGACTCAGTAGAGAACAAATGATATTTGCTTTGAAAATGGTAAGCAAAGTATCATGGGATTATGTTTGGGTGTAAAGGGTGAAATATATCTAAAGTATTTACTTGCTAAATGATTTAGATAAATCACATCCTGTTTAAAATACAACAGTTTTTGAAAACTTTTAATAGCAAAGAAAAACTAAATGAATACATAAACATTAAGCCAGCATTACAAAGAATTCTAAGAGGGGGGACACAACCTGAAGGAAGCAACCAGGAACTGTGACCTGCCCCAAACAGGCATTACTCAAAGTCTAACTGAGCAAGCACAGGAGGAAAGGAAAGAAGAAAAACTTAGGAAAATGGAATGGCAGGGACAACAATGCATCTCTCTATACTTTCTCTTAATATAAATGGGCTGAATTCGCCAATTAAAAGAAAACGAACTGAGGACTGGATCAGAAAACAAGACCCATCCATCTGTTGCCTTCAGGAGACCCACCTCTCAGCCAAACATACAAACAAACTCAGAGTGAAGGGGTGGAAAAGGATCTACCAATCAAATGCCCCCAGTAAGAAAGCAGGTGTAGCTATCCTGATATCTGACAAAATAAACTTTTCATTAAAACCAGTACAGAAAGACAAGGACGGACACTACATATTAATAAAGGGAACAATCCAAGAGGAGGATATAACCATCATCAACTTATATGCCCCAAATATTGGTGCACCCGATATGTCAAACAAATGCTCTCAAACTTACAGAATAAAATAGATCCCAATACGATAATACTAGGAGACTTTAACACGCCACTCTCACCAAAGGACAGGTCTACCAACCAGAGGATTGGCAAAGAAGCTACCGAATTAAGTGAGGCCATACTTCAAGCGGAATTAACTGACATCTACCGAGTATTTCACCCTAAAACAACACAGTACACATTCTTCTCAGCAGCTCATGGAACTTTCTCCAAAATAGACCATATCATAGTTCATGCAAGGAACTTAAGCAAATACAAAGGGATCGACATAATCCCCTGTATCCTATCTGACCACAGTGGAATCAAGCTAGCTTTCAATAACAAAGCATACCGCAGAAATTTCTCTAAAACATGGAAATTGAACAGCACACTCCTTAACAATGCCTGGGTAACAGAAGAGATCAGAGAAGAAATAAAGCATTTCCTAGAACTCAATGAAAATGAAAACACCTCACAAAGAAACTTGTGGGACACAGCAAAAGCAGTCCTGAGGGGCAAATTTATTGCCCTCAGTGCCCACATCAAGAGAATGGAGACAGACCAAGTAAATAATCTCATGTTGCAACTAAAGCAGCTAGAAAAACAAGAAAAAATGGGACCTAAAGCTACTAGACGAAGCCAGATAACCAAATTAAGAGCAGAGATTAACCAATTAGAAAATCAGAAAACCATAACCAAAATAAACCAAACAAAAAGCTGGTTCTTTGAAAAAATAAACAAAATTGATGGCCTGTTGGCAAGATTAATTTAAAAAAGAAGAGAGGAAACCCATATTAATAGGATTAGGGATGCCACGGGAAACATCACAACACGTACCCAAGATATCCAAACAATTCTAACAGACTACTTTCAAAAGCTATACTCTCTAAAGGAAGAAAATCTGGCAGAAATGGATGCATTTTTAGAGAAATACAAGTTACCCAAACTGAGCAAAGAAGAAGTTAACCAATTAAATAAGCCAATATCCTATAATGAGATACAGGAAGCTATCAAAAGTCTTCCAACAAAAAAAAGCCCAGGACCAGATGGATTCACAGCAGAATTCTATAAGACCTTTAAACAAGAACTAATACCCATACTCCTCAAGCTCTTCAGAGAAACAGAGAAGGAGGGAGCTATCCCAAACTCATTCTACGAAGCCAATATCACACTCATCCCCAAACCAGGCAAAGACCCAACCAAAAAGGAGAATTACAGGCCAATCTCCTTGATGAACACAGATGCAAAGATCCTTAACAAGATTCTAGCTAACAGAATCCAGAAACACATAAAAAACATAATACACTATGATCAGGTAGGCTTCATCCCAGAGACACAGGGATGGTTTAACATACATAAGTCAATAAATGTAATCCAACATATCAACAGAGCCAAGGTCAAGAATCACATGATTATCGCCACAGATGCAGAAAAGGCCTTTGATAAAATTCAACATTCATTCATGCTAAAAGCTCTGGAGAAAATAGGAATAGAAGGAACATTTCTAAAAACAATAAAAGCCATTTATGACAGACCAAGAGCCAATATTATACTTAATGGGGAAAAGCTACAACCAATCCTCCTAAAATCAGGAACAAGGCAAAGATGCCCACTGTCTCCACTCCTCTTTAACATAGTCCTAGAACCCTTAGCCAGGGCAATAAGGCAAGAAAAAGACATTAAAGGGATCCGCATAGGGAAAGAAGAAGTGAAACTATCCCTTTTTGCAGACGACATGATACTATACCTCCACGATCCCAAAAACTCCATCCCCAAACTTTTAGAAATCATAAGTCACTTCGGCAAAATAGCAAGATACAAAATAAACCCACAAAAATCAGTTGCCTTCCTATACACTGATAACGTACAGGAAGAGAGGGAAATAAAGGGAGCAACCCCATTTACAATAACCTCCCAAAAAATAAAATATTTAGGAATTAACCTAACCAAAGATGTAAAAGAACTATTTAATGAAAAGTATAAAAAGTTAAAGAAAGAAATTGCAGAAGACACTAGGAAATGGAAAGACCTCCCATACTCCTGGATAGGCCGACTTAATATAGTAAAGATGGTAATACTTCCCAAACTAATATACAAATTCAATGCAATTCCTATTAAAATCCCAATGACGTACATCACTGAAATACAGAAAACAGTCCAAAAATTTATATGGAACAAAAAAGACCTAGAATAGCTAAAACAATTCTAGGGGATAAAGACAATATGGGAGGGCTATCCATGCCGAACTTCAAACTCTATTACAGAGCTATAATAACAAAGACAGCATGGTACTGGCACAAAAACAGACCCGAAGACCAATGGAACAGAATAGAAGATCCAGAAATAAATCCACAGGCCTACAGCCAGCTGATATTCGACAAAGGAGCCAAAGACGTACAATGGAAGAAACATAGCCTCTTCAACCGCTGGTGCTGGGAAAACTGGGCAGCCACATGCAGAAAACTAAAAGTGGACCCCAGCCTATCACCATGCACCAACATCAACTCAAAATGGATTAAAGACCTTAACATTAAACCTGAATCTCTGAAACTACTGCAGGACAGAGTAGGAGAGACACTTGAACTAATAGGCACAGGAAGGAACTTCCTGAACAGAGTCCCAGGGTCACAATAAGTTGGAGAGAGACTCGACAAATGGGACTACCTTAAAATAAAAAGCTTCTGCATAGCTAAATCTATCGCAACTAAGCTAGAAAGACAACCAACTAATTGGGAAAAAATATTTACCAGCAATATATCAGACAAGGGATTAACATCCTGTATATACAGGGAACTCAAGAAACTAATCCCTCCCAAACCTAACAAACCAATTACTAAATGGGCAAGGGAACTAAAGAGGGACTTCTCAAATGAAGAAATAAAAATGGCAAAGAAACACATGAGGAAATGTTCATCATCCCTGGTGGTGAAGGAAATGCAAATAAAGACAACCCTGAGATACCACCTTACCCCAGTCAGAATGTCCCACATCCACAAATCAGCCAACGACAAATGCTGGAGGGGATGTGGAGAAAGAGGAACCCTATTATACTGCTGGTGGGAATGTACACTTATACAACCACTTTGGAAAGCAGTCTGGAGGGTCCTTAGAAAGCTAAAGATTGACCTCCCTTACAACCCAGTCATACCACTTCTAGGCATCTACCCTGAACAACAGGAACCAATATACAAGGACACGTGCACCTCCATGTTTATTGCAGCACTGTTCGCAATAGCTAGGATATGGAAACAACCTAGGTGCCCCACCACAGATGAATGGATCCAAAAATTGTGGTATCTATACACAATGGAATATTATGCAGCCATTAGAAATGACAAAATAATGGCATTTGCAGGGAAATGGATGGAGCTAGAAGGAATCATGTTGAGCGAGGTAAGCCAAGAACGAAGAGACAAACGGTACATGGTCTCCCTGATAAGTGGATGCTAAATCCAAAATGTTAGGTGATACGACAAAACTAACAGGACTTAAGAAACAAAGAACTCCTGCTCATCTGGTTGAACCACTACTAAATATCCCCATGCTGCTGATCACAAATATGGTATATAACATGTGAGCACTGTTATATATTACAGACTGTGATAGACAGTTTGCTCCAGGAAAGTTAGAATGAACTTGTGACTTTGAAATTATGTAATCACTTAATCACAATCAAAAAAAAAAAAAAAAAAAGAACCTCGGGGAAGGGAGGGAGAGAGGGGATGGTAGGGGGAAAACAATGGAGGGGGTAACAATGTTCAAGAGGAAGTGTACTCGTTACCTCACTCATGTAACTGTAACCCTCTGTATAGTATCTTTACAATAAAGAAAAAAAAATACAACAGTTTTGAGCTGGGTGTTGGTGGCTCATACCTGTAATCCTAGTTACTCAGGAGGCTGAGATCTGAGGATTGTGGTTCAAAGCCAGCCCAGGAAGGAAAGTCTATGAGATTCTTATCTCAAGTTAACCACCAGAAAACCAGAAGTAGCACTGTGGCTCAAGTAGTGGAGCGCTAGCCTTGAGCTGAAGAACCCAGGGACAGCGCCTAAGCCCAGAGTTCAAGCCCTATGACTGACAAAAAGAAAAAAGAAAAAAAGAAAAGTACAACAGTTTTACTGATATAATTTACATTTTAAAATGTAAAATTTTTGTGTTTTATATATTCAGAGAACAACCATTACCTGTTTTTGTCACCCTTAAAAGAAAGTGCATACCCATTAGCAGCCACTCAGCATTTCCCTCCTTCCCCCAACTCCTGCTGCCAAACATATGGTGTCTGTACGGATTTTTACCATTTTGGAATATTTCAAATAAATGGGATCATCTGATATGTGATCTCTCATGACTGGCTCTTTTACTCGGCATATATTTTCAAGGTTTGTTCAGTATTGTAGCATGTTTCAGTATTTCATTTGTGACTGAATAATATTTTATTATATTGCTGTAACACTTTGTTCCTCAGCTGATGGATAGTTATTTATACCCCTGATGATAGGACTATGGTTATGAACATCCATGCAGAAGCTTTTTGTATGTACATGTATTTTCATTTCTTTTAAACCTAGTATTAAAATTCTTGGGCTCCTGTTTTTCAAATTATTTTTCTTCTGTACAATGGGAGGTGTAATTATCTTCTCAACCCTTCTCTAGAATTACTGAAAAAAAATAGAAAATAGAATTTCCTTAACCCATCAGAGGCATCTGTGAAAAGCTGATAATATGACAGTAATCAAAATGATTCTTTTCTCCTAAGATAAGGAACAAGGCAAAGATGTTCACTCTTTCTATTTCTACTCAGAATTATACTGGAAATGCATATAGGCATCCAGATTGTGACAAAAGAAGTAAAACTCTCTACCAGCAAGCAAAATGATTTTATACTTAAAAAGTAAATATTCTACAACTTTAATGAGGTTGTAGAATACAAGATCACTTTTAAAAAATCAGTTGTATTTCTATACATTTGCAAAGAACTATCTAAAAGGAAATTAAGAAAATAATTGTTTATTATCACACCCCAAGAACAATATACTTAGAAATATTTTGACCCAAAGATGTGAATAACTTTTATAATAGAAATTACAAAACTTATAAAATAGTTAAAGATCCTAACAAATGTAAAGACTTCCCACACTGATTGAGGACTTAGTATTATTAAGGTGATAATACTCTGAAATTGAGCTATAGATTTAGTGAAATGCCTATTAGAATCCCAGCTGGCTTCCATGAAGAAACTGAAAACTCACATCAAAACTCAAGGTACTCAGAAGAGTCAGAACAATCTTGGTAAGACTGGTAGAGGACTCATACTTCTCAATTTCAAAACTTCCTACAAAAGCAATAATAATCATGAGTGTGGATCATAATTTAACTAATAGTCCAAAGATAAACATTTATTTGGACATTAACTTTTGAGAAAATAATAGTTGCCAATTTTTATGGCTTTGGATTAGGTAATATATTCTTAGCCACGATACCAAAACCACAAGCACTAAAAGAAACGTAGCTAAATTAGACTTCATCTAAAGTATCTTTCAACATATGTGAAAAAGCTCTTACTCTCTTTTGTCTTTCTAATAAAAGGAGAGAGAAAAACAAGATCATTTTTACTTAAGTTAGTAAAAATGAAAAAGTTAACTAATGCACCACATATATAATATGCAGTTAGTATATATTATATTCAGTGGTACACCAATATAGTAACAGTTTTGGAAGAATACATAAGGAACTGGCATTGACCCCTGTCTCTGAGGAGTAGAATTAGGTTGTTATATTTACTTTTCTCCAGGCATCTTTTCAAGGTTTGAGTAGTTGTTGTCTTGTTTTACTATGTAAACATACTGTCCATACACAGCGTTCTCAAAGTACAGTTTGCAGCCATGGTATCAGTCTCACTTGGAGCGTATTAGTAATAAAAATTCTCAGCACAGCATCAAGCTCACTGAATCAAACTTCTGGGGGTGAGAGTTCCCAAAGTTAAAGCTGTTTGTGCTGTAACAAGCTATCTGTGTGATTCTGATGTGTGCTCAGCCTAAGGACTCTCTCCTACTCAAATAAAAGACATAGATACTTTGTCTACCAATTTGTACTGGTTGACATAAAGCTACCTACTAACCCCATCCCATCTTCCAAAGTCAGTTCTTCTAATTAATCACACAAATTGGTACAACAGCTAAAAAAGGGATGGCAAGAAAGAATTTAGAAGTCATATTTCTAGAAATTCATTGCTAAAATATTTACAAGTAGGTTTGTATTTCAAAAAGAAATTTAGTTATTCCTGCATAAAATGTGCTTGGCTTCTTAATGAAATGCAAGTCACTAAGAGAACTTGTAAGGACAATCTTTTGGGAGCAGGTCAGAGTTACAATTTTGCTCTGTTCAGTTGTATAATCATCTATGATTCACCTCATGGGATAAGCCAGAGAGTAACGTGGTTTCCTCTGTGCAACAATTTTACCTCTTCTCTTGCTTAAATTATATGAAATAAAGCATGTAACTCATGTATTTCCAGATTTACTTTTATATAGTAATATGTTTTTGTCTTTTCCTATTTCTCAGACATCCAAAGCAAATGTTTATAAATGTCCTATCTCCTTCCAGGTACACTTACAGCATGTTATCAGTCATAGGAACATCTTATGCTGTCTTGACATGGCTCAGTCAAACACTGTGGATGCCAATTTACCCTCTGTGTGTTCTTGCTGAAGGTAAGAATGCTGTGTCATATTCCTGACTAACAAAAGCCATTTAGTTATAATAAGCTGTTAATGTTTTTTGATGATTAAACAGCTACTTTTTTCACTTACTATATCTTTCCTGGCCTATTTCCTCTTGCTGCAAATAAGGAAAGCATTGAAAAGCAAAGTTGAAAAGGAAAGCAGTTCTGCACAATAGACAAAATATTAGATAAGAAATGAGGATATCAGAATTCTGATGCTTGACTTCATTAATTTATGAATTTTGGGTAACTTCATATCTGAGTCTGTTTACTCACCAAAGAGGGATTTAATATTTAGAGATTCTATGTTTTTATTAAAATGCATAGAAACTTGGTTCTGTCTGACTAGGATCTCCTTCTCACTTACCATCTCCTATGCTTCCTACCTCTACCAAATGATAAATTAGATCGACTCTGATTTGTCACTTTCAGAGGGAGGAAGCTTTCTCTGACTTCTCAAAAAAATTAATTCTGTCTGGAACAGCATCATGGATTACTATTTTATAAGTCCTATCTCAACTGTAAGTAGACACATGTATGGTTTTTTGGTTATGTCCATTTTCATGACTAGATTTTAAGCTTTATGAGGGTATAAGAGTATGTTTCTTTACTTCTTTCCTTTCTCTTATACATCAGTACATATGCTCAATAAAACCCAGATGCCTTACTGACTGTGATTTGAAGTATGTTAATTACCTCTTAAGTAGAAATCCAGGGCTTAAAATTAAGTAATTGAAATCATTACTTTCAAAGGACTTGACGATTCATGGAGAATATATGCTTCCTTCTGGAGTGGCTTTAGCAGAACATAGGTAACTTGGTAGAAGTCATAATTAAAGATATTGAAATGTAAGTCACAGAATAATAAAAAGCATGCTAGTATAACTGAGGGATACATAAGGAAACATATAAATGATGTTAGCATTGCCAATAATCATAAAATACATAAAGATGCATATAAAATAAAAAAAAAACCAAATGTGTTTTATCTACTAACAACCAGAGAAAAGAAGCTTAATTTACAATAAATCATGTTAGTCAGAGTTTTAAATCTTATTTTGTTTTCAAAATAATTATTCAATTTGGGGGCAGGATAACGTAGGAAACCTAGAGAATAACCTTCTGAAAACAAAAAGAAATTGTTCATTCTTTTATTTATTTATTTTTTTTGTGAAAATACTGTACAGAGAGGTTACAATTACATGGGCAAGATAGTGAGTACATTTCTTATCAAGCATTGTAGCCTCCTCCTTTGTTTCCCTTTCCCATCCTTTCCCATCCTCCCCCTGCCCCCCACCCAGAAATTGTTCATTCTTTAAAAATGAAATTGATCACTCAAAAAAACATGTATAAATTTTATACCATTGTATCATATGAAAATGTGACAATGTATAAAGGAAAATGTGTTGGCAAATGATACAAATTCAGTTAGAATTTATTGATGAAGACATTTTTGCGATCTATTATACTACATAATAATATATTACATATGCTATACTGACTAGTAAATAAGGTGTAGTTCAAAATAGCTAACAGAGTAACTTTCAAATGTCTCACCACAAAAAAGTAAGAGATGTGTTGGGAGCCAGTGCTCATGCCTATAATCCTTGCTACTTAAGTATGTATCAGGAGAGTCATAGCTTGAGGTTGGCCTTGGCAAAAAGCTCATCTGAACAGAAAAGGCATAGTGGTTCACTTTGCATCCCAACTATGGCACAAAGAATAAAATAGAAGTATTTTGGCCCAGGTGGTCCAGGCAAAAGTGGGACTCTTATCTTAACAATAAACAAGGCAGGAGGGATGAAGGTATAGCTCCAGAGAGCTAGCCTTGTAAGCCCTGGGTTCAGACCCCAGGACCACCTCCCTCCCCCAAAAAAGTTTTGTGAAGAAATGTTAGTTTAATTATTGTGCATCATTGTATGTAAATATTCAAACTTCACATTGTGTCCCATAAATGTATACATTATGGTTTGTTGATTAAAATTGTACTTATAAATTTTATAAAGATTATATAAAGGAACGGATAAAATTAGTGCTGATTCCCTTCCTAAAAACAATGTTGAAAAAGTACAAAGGAGACCTTTCTGTTCTTGTTATTTCATTAATCTAAACTTCTGTCTAGTAAAGTATGGATTTGTATGGTTTTCATATTTATATTTCATTAAGTTCATAAATTCATTCTTGTTATTACAAAGTAAAGTATGTACAGAGTCTTTCTAGCCTACATGACAAAATGTCAATAATTCTGGGTGATAGAATATTTGACCTTTTATTTCTATTACTTAAATGTCTAAGAGCATAAAAATATGGAGTTAAGAAAACCCACTTAATGTGTGTGTGTTTGTGTGTGTGTGTATGTGTGTGTGTGGCAGTCTTGGGGATTGAATTTAAGGTTTGGGTGCTGTTCCTGAGGTTTTTTTTGGTCAAGGATATAACTATCATTTGAACCACAGCTCCATTTCTTGCTTTTTGGTTGTTCATTGGAGATAACAGTCTCATAGATTTTCCTACCTGGGATGACTTCAAACTGTGATCCTCAGATCTCAGCCTACTGAGTAGCTAGAATTATAGGTATTATAGAATTATAGAGTCATTGGTGCCCAGCTTCCACTTAACTTTTGATAGCTCCAATAATAACATTTCATTTAAATAACTGTTTTCCATTGGACAAATGTATGACTAAAACAAAGTTCATATAAGTCACCAAAATCAACAAATTAAATGGTAAAATGTTAGAGACTTAGGTGCAGCCCTTATTAATCTTAGATGTCAGTTTTGTTCAAACTGTAAATCCTGCCTAGTGGCACTCATACCCAGCCAGGTTCTAACAGTTTTTAGAACTGATTTGTAATAATTTTAGACTCACAATAAATTATAAAACAGTAATCATTCTTCTGTATCATTTACCCAAATTATCCTAAAAATAACTTTTAGGAAATGCCACCAAAGAAATCTACCCATGGGATATGGTTTTGTGGAACCTGCATCTTTCTGTCTGACATGAACTTCTCCCTCAGCATTTTTCATGGAGTCACTGAGCATTTTTGTTTTGTACTTCTGGAGCTAAGGAAGAGGAAGAGTTTCCAAGGCTAGTTAGGTTGAGAAAATGTTGACCAATACTGGTGTTTCTTCCTTGCAGAATTTGGAATATATAATGTGATGAACATGTGTTATGCAACTGTAAGAGAAGAACATATGCAGCATTTTCCATATTTTTTGCTTGTTACCACTTTTTGTGGCGAAGGGGGTTGTGTGTGGCAAAGGGGACAGATGTATTTCGGTTATCATTTTAAGAAGCAATGGAAAGTCTTTCCATGTCAGCATGATAATGTATACAAAGAACAAAAATTCAGTCAGTCACACCACTGGAAAAGCATCACCAACTTAGTCATTTAGCAGATTTCGATGTCAAAAAAGCAGCTTTCACTAAAGGAGTCAGCAATCATCACAAACCTGTCACTGTCAACCTCAAAATATTCTTCATTATGGAGACAGGTCTATACATCCTTGTGACAAGTTAAGGAGAGAAGTCCTTATGATACTTTCTTTCTTTAAACAGCATTTGCCATCTATCAGTCACTACCATATTTTGAATCATTCAGCACTTACTCTGCCAAGCTGCCCTTTGACTTATCCATCTACTTCCCATATGTGCTGAAGCTGTATCTCATGATGCTCTTCATAGGTGAGTGGTTGGCTTGTTTTTACATTGTTCCTATTCTTTGGGTCCATACTGCCATCTACCTTGATAAGACAGGTTGGTAAACCTTGGGAAAGAAAAATAGAAAGCCTGACACGATGACTAGACTGCCATTAAAGCACCTGGAAGTTCTAATGCATTTGCCCACTATTAACAAGATCAAATATATCACTATTTTAAAGTAAGAATGAGAACAGTTTTACTAGCAGAAAAATAACTGTATTATGTATGAAATACAGAGATCTTGACCCTAGACACTGCTATGGACAGACAAAACAAACGAACAAACAAATGTCAAATAGGAATGGCTATTTCTGTGTTTTTATGTTTTGTTTCCTGTTTGGCCTCTTATGCTAGTATTTCCTAGCAGGCAAATAGAGTAGGGCTAAAGAATCAATTAAAACTGTATGAAGCTGAATGCTAGTGATTGATACTTATAATGCTAGCTATTCAGGAGGCTAAGAGCTGAAGGATCGCAGTTGAAAGCCATCTGTGGCAGAAAAGTCTGTGAGACTCTTATCTCTAAAATAACCAGTAAGAAGCAGGGCTGGAATGGCTCGAGTGATAGAGCACCAGCTGAGTGAGCAAGCTGAGTACACATGAGGACCTCAGTTCTAATCCCGGTACTCCTCCCTCCCCGTCACAAAAACTAGTGGAATGAAAATTTAGAAAACCCAGGCAGGTGTATAGCTGCATTTTTAAGTGTGTATGTGTGTGTGTGAATACTGGAAATCAGCAGAGAGAAATGGGAACCTTGGAAGGCTCAGAGACCCAGGACAATAGAATACCAGAAACAAAATATTCAGGTACTTGGCACCCAGGCTTCATAGCTGGAGGGAAGGAAGACTCTCCATTTATAGGGTAAAAGTCGAAGAGAGTCACAGCAAATTCTGTCAGTGTGCATGCAGACAATCCTCACCACTGAGTGATTCAGTCTTTACAGGCTTGAAGCCCAGTTGGACAAGTAATCTGAAGTCTCACCTTGCTTTGGAAAGGATGTTACAATCACCTCTCAGTAAACCCCTTGGAGTGCTTAAAGTCAGGAGCCACATAGAGAAGGCCTGTTTTCTGAATTCAGACTGAGCTAGTGATCAGAAGCCCCTTCATATTCTTGCCTCTGGGACCTCATAGACATTCTAGTGCACTGGCCTACCAGAGGGCCGCCTCACAAACCAAACAGAATTGAAAGTGGGGGAAGGCAGTAGGGTGGCTCGAAATCAAACCTGTTAGGTTTTGTCTTCTGGGATGAGGGAGCTGGCTCATTCCAAGAAGATTCATGTAAGTGCCAGGAAGGAGTAATCAACTCTATTGTTTCTACCATCTCTCCCCACAGGGTTATGCATGGCTGCCTGCCATTAACAGGGTAAGGAAAGAATTAGGTGGTTCCACTGCTGCTTTGCCCAGACAGACGTGTAGGGGCAGCTTTCAGCAATTCTGGGGGCTTCAGTTGCTACTCTAGCCTCCAAGAAATCCCAGAGAAAAACTGCCAGATGCTAGGCACATGCTGTTCTCACTAGCTCCAACAAGCCTATCCGCTGAAGGAGTCAAGAAAGAGAAAAACCTTGGCCCTTACCCCTGGTGTGTGAACAGTCAAGGAAGACTACAGGAGGATTTTGCCTTATCTACCATTACTCATCTCTACTTGCTCCCTGATGGGCATTACAAATGAAAGAACAACATTGGCTGTTGCCTACTCCATCCTCAAGTGCACAAGGCTAATAGGGTGCAGTATAAGTAACCTGCCACTGGACAGGAACTCCCAGTAGCACCAAAGGGTCACCCCAATTCCTGCAGTTCCTACTGCTTTCTGCTCCACACTTCATCTGACCATGCACTACTGTCAGGACCAGATTTGCGTGCCATAGTGGGGATGCCGTGGTTTCTGGTACTGCCTCTCCCCATGAAGCACCTGGGTCCATACCACTATCTGGATGGAGGAAGAGTACTTTAGGCTCTTTTTTTTTTTTTTTTTTTTTTTGGGTCAGTTGTAGGGCTTGAATTCTGGGCCTGGGTGCTGTGCCTGAGCTCTTAGTTCAAGGCGAGCACCCTGCCTCTTGAGCTATAACACCACTTCTGGTTTTCTGGTGCTTAATTGGAAATAAGAGCCTAATGGACTCTCCTGCCTCAGCTGGCTTTGAACCATGATCCTCAGATCTCAGTCTCTTGATTAGCTAGGATTACAGGTGTAAGCCATTGGTGCCTGGCTTTCAGGCTCCTTATGACTACTGCTGCAGCCAGTGCTGGAGACCCTTCAAGTGATGCAGCTACCATCAACCTACCCTGAAGAAATCCCCATCACTTGACAGAGGCCAACACATCCACTGTACGCATGCAATGTGTAGCCTACCACACCTGCCTAAATTGCTAACGGGTCCCTCCCAACTCTTACAATGGTTCTCTTAAATTCTGACAAGGTATACATTGTGCTCATACTCATAAATCAGAGCTAAAGAAGCTAAAGAGAACATATAGTACATATCCAGTTGGAAAAAAAGTTAACGTCACATGGCAAACTTTGGCAAGACACATTTACAGGAGATAGTTTCTTACTATGAAGATCATTCCATAAATGTAGAAGAGATAGTCATATCCATGAGGTAGATAATAATATAATAACTCAAGTAATATAGGAACACAAGAAAATAGGGAAAAAAGGAAGAAAAGGAAAGTAGTATGACATGTTTAAAGGATCACAACTCTCTAGCATCAGTTTCCAGTGAATGAAAAATCATTCAGAAGAATGATTTTTAAAATCTCAGAAATCTAAGGGTATATAGATAACTGGAATTAGAAAGACAATGCAGAAAATAAAAATCTAAAAAAGAAAAGATTTTGAAAATGAACCAAACAGAAATCGTGGATATCAACAGTTCAATAATTTAAATAAAATTTAATCTGAAAGCCTCAACAACAGACAAGATGAAGTAGAAGAAAGAATATCTAAGTCTAAAGATGGGTCTGTTGAAACTTCCCATTCAGACAGAATAAGACAAGACAGAATAAAGAACGCATGCAAAATCTTTGGGAATTGTTAAAACATTTTCATCAGTGAACTATCAGAAGGCAAGGAACTTAAACACACACACACACACACACACACACACACACACACAACAGAAGTGCAGAAAATCCATGATTTTTTTTTCTTTTGCTGGTTGTGGGGCTTGCACTTGGCATAGGGGCACTGCTCCTGAGTCTGTTTGTGCTCAAGGCTAATGCTCTACCACTTGAGCCACAGCATCACCTCTGTTCCTTGATTTTAGGAATGGCATAGACATCTATATACACAAGGTTTATAGAACCCCCAAAAGATAAATCTTCACAACAACATATTAAAGTTACACTGTTAAAAGTACAGGACAAAGAAATAATTTTAAAATACTCTAAGAGAAAATCCTAAGTCATATTTAAGGGCCACTTCACCAGACTAAAAGCAGATTTCTCAGAAGAAACCAGTGTCCATTCACATCACTCTTATTCGATATAGTATCAGTAGCTGCACACAGAAAAATTAGACAAGACAAAGAAATAAAGGGGTGGACCATATCCCCCTTGTTCCATCCTTACCCGTCAACTATCATCCTTCACAAAATCACTAGGATTTATGATTCTACTTGAAGGTAAAATTCAGGTAACTTAGCTGGGCACCGGTGGCTCATGCCTGTAATCCTAGCTACTCAGGAGGCTGAGATCTGAGGATTGTGGTTCAAAGCCAGTCGGGGAAGGAAAGTCCATGAGACTCTTATCTCCAATTAAAAAAAAAAAACAAAACACTACAAAACTGGAACTGGCACTGTGGCTCAAGCAATAGAGCGCTGGCCTTGAGCTGAAGAGCGCAGGGACAGTGCCCAAGCCCAGAGTTCAAGCCCCAGGACTGACCAAAAAAAAAAAAAAAAAAATTCAGGTAACCTTTCGTTTTAAGTTTCCACATATAAGAGAGATCATACAATATGCTGTATGTACACATGGGCATAGCACATTGAATCCTACAATATGTGTAATTAATACATATTAACAAAAATTAAAAAGTAAGAAGAATGCATCCACAGAAAACCTAAGATTAAAGAGTAAAGCTGTGTTGGCAAAGATAAAAAAAATTTAAGCCAAGCACAGTGACTCATGGTTATAATTCCAACTGCTTGGTAGATGGATATAACAGAATTGTGGTTCAAGGCTAGCCCCCGCAAAAAGTGAACAAGACCTTATCTCAAACAACAAGCTTGAGTATGGTGGTTCACCCTGTAATTCTAGGTATGTGGGAGGCAGAGGTAGAAGGATCATGGCCTGAAAAGAATGATACTCTATCTGAAAAAATAAAGTAAAAAGGATCGGGAAGAATGGCTCAAATGGAAGAACACTTGCCTAGCAAAGACAAAGTCCTGAATTTAAACTGAAGTACTATAAAATGTTTAATTAAATGTTCCGTGTAGGATAATTTTAAAATATTACATTTGAAAAATTAAATAGATGATTTTCTAATAAATTGGCAGAAAGACCTCTATAATTTAATTTTATTCCTGCTCTCACCTTCACAAATCCTCAAGATAATGATTATCTCTAAGATGCAACAGATTTCAAACATAAGAACAACACATACAGAATAAAAACCAAGTGTGAAACGTTAGAGGTGGTGAAGCAGTTACCACAAAGAAACCAAAAAATTCCTGTATTAAGCTTAGGATAAACGAGTTTGATTTACTTCCCTTTCTGGATACAATCTGGTCAGTTCTTTGGGTCTCTCTTGTCAATGTCCCATCTTTAGAATTCTGGCAGCACTCTGACTACTTTATAGAATTATTTCTCCCCCAGGGATATGCTTAACTCAACCTTACTTATTGTTGCCACTTTCTTCTCCACTTTAGGTATGTATTTTACCTACAATCATCTTTACTCAGAAAGAAGAGATATCCTTAGAGTCTTTTCCATTAAAAAGAAGATACGATACACAGCATAGTTATGTGATGGAAGAAAGGAGATTTGTGGATTCAGCTGCAACAAATGCATCATGGGAAATACTGTGGTGGGAAAATATCTAGTACTTGACAAAAAGTGATGACATGGGTTAATTGTACATATCACCCAATCCCCTTAACCAGTATGGCAGCAGTCAAGTCTCTCATCATATTTTCAAAACATTCTGTATAATGTTCATCACCTAAGCTGTGGATTTTCTACAAGTTACACTTACATTGTGTGAAGTTTGATTATTTTTCCTGTAAGGTCAATGAGAAATAGAATATACTGGAATAAATTTAATTAAATTGAGAAGCAAAACTTGAACAACCAAATGGCATGAATTGCATTTTACTAGTGAGCTTCCAGACTGCGAGATAGGAGGGTAGCATTTTAGAATATATTCTGCAGTTGTCTATAATATCATATTTTATAAATTGTCTTTATACCCCAAGCTAATAATATTAAAGATTAAATATACTTAGAAAATTCAACAGCTTTCCAAGCCCTAGGTCTAAACTTAAGTTGCTAAATAACAAAACCGTGTGGCTTAAACAGAAATTTATTTCATAAAGTTCTGGAGGTTGGAAATTCCAAAATCAAGATGTTAGGCCAATTCTATTCCTTTTCATTTGCAGAGTGAAAGACCATCTCTCATGCTTCTTCTTAACAATGGCACCAGCTAATCCCACTCATGATAGCGGGATTTAATTACCTCCCAGTCACTCTTGCCAAATATATTACATTGAAGGAGTAGGTCTTAACACATGAATTTAGGGGAAAGCTAGGCATCAGTGGCTTCCCCGCCTGTCATCCTAGCTACTCAGGAGGCTGAGATCTGAGGAATGAAGTTCAAATCCAGCCCAGGTAGGAAAGTCTGTAAGACTCATATTTCCAATTAATCACCAAAAAACCAGAAGTGGAGCTGTGGCTCAAGGAACAGAGCACTAGCCTTGAACAAAAAAGCCCAAAGTCAGAGCCCAAGTCCTGAGTATAAGCCCCAGGACCAGTACAAAAAAAAAAAAATGGGAGGAGGGAGACACATATTCAGCTTTTAGGACTATCTGGCTCCACAAAGTTAATATTCTTTTCATGGGTAAAATATATGTATTCTAGACCCTCCACACCCCCACCCCTGCAACGTCAGAACTTGTTCTTGTATCAACTAAAATATTTGAAGCTTCATCTATGTATCATTTATATCCCATATAGCTGAGAGTCCATCATCACGAGATGGAATTCTTTCCTCGCTGTGTGTTAAATCAAATATGCTATGTGCTTCCAAATATCATGATTAAGATAAACATAAGGCAGCTATTCACATTTCAAAAGGGAACGACAGTTCTCTAGCACATCCCAAAACATCAGGGCAAAGTCCTTAAGATCTTAAGGGTCAGGAACAGCAGAAGTAGCCAAGTCAGAGTTCTTATCCCCATGTCTGTTCAGAGAGGTCAGGCCCATTAACTTTGAATGGACCATCCTATGGTTGCAGTCAGAACATTTGGCCTTTTGAAACCAAGGAGCTAAATGCCTCTTTTGCAGGAACTTATATTTGAATCACCTTTAGGATCATTCTTCCTTGTCTTTGAAGAATAGTAAAGCTTTACACCCAAATAACTCAGGGCCCCATCCTGAAAAATCTGTTCCCTTCATTCTTTTCATTTCAAATTAGCAGTGTTCTTAATGGAGCAACAATTAGACCTGCAGTTCACACTGAAATATCCATATTGAATTGTCTGTTCACTACACTTTAGAGTTCTTTTCAGGACATGATTTCACTTTTTTTTTTTAAAGTATTCACAGGCTGAAAATTTTCCAAACATTTCTGTTCTGGTTCTTGCTTTTGGCTAAAATATTCTGTCTTCTATATTGTTCTTCTTCTCATATTTACTCCTCCAATATGACTTAACTCCTCCAACACTTTGCTTAGAAATCTCAGCTACATATCCAATTTTATTACCCAAGACTTTTGCTTTCCATATAATGATAGATGATAGACACAATTAAGCCAAGTTGTTTATCATTTTCTAATAGACATCCTTTCAGTCTTCAAGAACATTTCCCTACTTCCATCTGAGATGTCATCAGGATAATCTTAACTATCCTTATTATTTATACCACTGCTTATGATTATTTCTTATATAGTTCCTAAGAAGACAGAAGCTTCCTCTCTAGTCTCTCCTCTTCTTTCTCATATCTTAAAAAATTGCTAAAAGTTAATACTGGCGTTTCCTACCATGTATCTCAGAACTCTAACAACTTCTACAAGCTGCTTCTACATTTTTATATTGGTTATAGCAGTACCTCATATATTGTTGTCAATGGCACTCTTAGCTTGGACTCTTATAAAACATATTGTAAACTGAGTGAGTCAGACAACAGAAATAGGTTTTTCACAATTTCTAGGGGCTCGGGAAAAAACAGATGTGAGGATCCATGTAATTTTTTAGTTCTTGGTGAAGTTCCAAGATAACAACCGAGTCTCCTTTGTGCTCTGCACATAAGATGCCTTGCTGTATCCTCACATGATGGAAAAGAAATCATCTCTCCCAAGTCTCTTCTAATAAATTCCCTAATCCCATTCATGAGGGTACCACCCTCATACTTACTTCCCAAAAACCAGATATCCACATACTATCACTTCAAGAGAAGCTAGCTTCTAGCAATTAACTGCAAAAAAAATTTTAGATAACAACCTCTTAGTTACCATGGAACCATTATATTGCAAATAAAACACAAAGAAGTTTTTAGATATTTACATGGATCTTCACATCTGTTCCAAATGTACACTTTTCAAATCAAGAGTGAGTGTGTTTGGATACTTCTGAGAGACATAACACAGCTTTAACTCCACATATTAATTTGTTAGTATATCCCCACAAGCTATTTATCTTGGCAACTTATATTTTCAAAAACTAACAGAAAAGGGCTTGTAAGGGAAATTTCCTTTTGTATATAGTTAGGAACATCTGGCCTCAAACAGTACAGACTTCTAATTTTACAGACCAAATGGAAATATCTTGAGGGAATAATTTCTTACCTGAAGTTATACGGGCAACCAAGTGGAAGGGACATTATTATTGGGATATACGTAAGATTACTGTCACCATTACAATTTGCTTTGTAAGCAAACTCAGCTCCAACATTATTAAAGCAAATAAAAGTCACATGCACAAAGTTTACAAGATAATTTTACTAGAGTTTAAGTAAGAGAAGTTTCCACAAAGAACATCTTCATATTGAACTCTGGCCAAATCAGCAATATTCATGCTCCTATTTCAGTCTCACGTGGCCTGGGTACCAAAGGAATTCACGTTCTCCTGGCCAAGCATGTGTCAAGCTGTCAGTAATATGGCCACCTTCTCATGACCCTTAACTGTAAGGATCAATGTGTCACCAATCTCAGATGTGAATTCTGAAAAATGTCTATTTCTTTGGTTTGCTGCATTAACTGAAAATGCTGTTGACTACTGTAAAACTGTTTACCATCCATATGCTCTGGACCACACGGCTTTCTTCTTAAACTCTGGGAGAACTCTTAAGGATAGCAGGGTGGCTAAGGAGACAAAAAGAGAGAGAGAGAACACTTGCATTTGGTATAGCTCCACTTGAAAAGGTCATTTTGATCAAAAAGGTGAGAATTCCCATCAAGTCTTGGCAAATTGTTAAGGCAGAAAACCATTTTAAAGGTTGAGGGAAAGTTTTTTAGTTACTGTATATTCAGTTGATAATGAAATTTACAAAGATGACTTGGAAACTGATTTCTGAGAAGCTTAATGATGTTCCTTTTCTTGATGTGAGTGCTAATTACATGTGTGTTCTTTATAAAAAATCTACTTCATATAAAATTTACTTAATTTATTCTTCATAAGTGTTATCTCCATTAGATGCTTACTTAATGCTAAAAATATAAAACCCACAATCATATGAAAGTTGAGCTCTTATGTTCAAAAGAATAGTTATGACCATAGTAAATTATATTTGGACATGTACACATCAATTGTTTCTGCTCTGTCACGAGTCTCTTGGGGATCAATTTAAAGATGACAAATTCTGAGTAATTCTTATTATATATCTTATTTTATTCTTATATGTAATTATATATTATATATAATATACATTATATATTCTTATTTTATTATATATAATTATATGTTATATGTAATATATACATTATTATATATGTATCTTATATATCATTTTGAAATATACTACAAATATATGTACAATGTAGGAATGTGAAGGAATGTATATAAACCAGGTTACACAACTATGGTGACTCTAATAGTAAGCTCATGAAAATATAATCAAATACATGCTTCATTGGACTGTTTAACACTTTGGTTTCAGTTATTAACTTTGTATCATAGAAACCAATGGTATTATGGGTCCAGGACTATTAATTACTTCAAACTCTCACAGACAAATGAACAGAGTCAGCAAGTCTCTGGAGATGGAGCAATTAAAAATATATCAGATCACAGTCTAGATTTTTAGTGAAGTTCTGTGTTCTATTAGAATCATGTGGGACACTATTTCAACATCCACAGGTTTCCTTTGGGGTTGGAAGAAGGATCACAACTCACAAATTCTTGTTTGGCAAATAGAAAGCCCAGATAAATTATCACAGAAGAGACCAACAGATATGACATAGTCAGTGCAATATCGTATGGCAAATCCAAGTCATCAGCAGCAGCTACTGGCTCCAAATCCCCAAGTCCCAAGACACAGATGAAAGTACAAGCTGAAAGTTAGATTTATCTAAAAGTTAAATTTACAAGTACTGGAACATTTTTAGAATCCAGTTTCTGGCTCAAAATGCTACATTAGTGATCACACCCGATTATTGAGGTACACAAAGAAGAGATTTTTCATAAACCAATATCATAATATGCTGTTCTGTATACTAGACAAGAGTTGATGCTTTTCATCTACATGGATATAATCTTGAGTGTAATACCTTTCAAAAGATCCTTGGACTTTGCTGAGAGGGCTTCTTTAGGACTTTCTATGATGCTGAATAGCCAGTCAATGAACTAGAATGAAAAAGAACAGTGTCAGTGAACAGAATGCTATTATCACCATGAGATCAGTCAGTCCCCCAGGCCAGCACACTTGAGGGAAAGTGCAATATGTAGGCAACTCTTGCCTAGGCTGAAGGAGTAGAAATGAGACATGGACCAAGAACAAAATATGGGTTTTAGACAGAGGTTTAAGAAGATAAGATATGGAGGCCATGAACATTATCTGCTATCATTCAGAGAAGCCTAGATCTGCTAATAACTACCCAAGTCTATTCCCAGGGTCAGGAGTTGAGCCCAGCTACTCCTGGCTGCAAAGTGATGTGCTTTCTTTGCATCATGTACATTTCCACTATTTCTATATGCATTTGCCCTGTATGCATTAGGCTGGCACCAAACAGAAACCTATCAGATATAAGCTCTTATTACTGAAATGAAATCTATTTCTGTAAATGAGAACAAGTTGTGCCCAAATTAATATGAAAAGAAGGAAGTTGAAATGCAAGAGAAAGAGCATAAAATATTGTCGGTAAAGCCAAGCATGTTAACTGTGAATAAATCCTAAAAATGAGATAAAAGCTCATAGTATTCATGAGTTTGAATGATTTCCCAGGATGCAACCCAAATTGTTTTCAAATTAGATACAGGATAATGTCATTGATGACTAAATGTTACTAATCTTTCACTACAGATTTCAACTTCAGATATGTGAAGCTGGATTAAGGAAAGAAAAAGAAAATAATTCTAACTCCTGCTTTAATTCAATTTTTCTCTTGTATTTCTTTCCTTTTCTCAATTTGGTTTTTATAATATTCTAACAGAAGCAAATAAACCAAGCATCCGAATATATAATCAAAGCAAGATGTCTGCCCTGTAGTCCAAAGTGAACACTGTCTTGATCCAGAAATAACAAAATGGGAGACCACATGTAAATTTATTTTGATTAAAAATAGAACATAAAGTAAGAAAGTTAAGAAAGTACTACGAATGCTTATCTGATCTAAGGGGAAACAACATTTTAGTTGAGAAACTTAGGAGAATTATGCATAAACAAACTCTGGGTTCACTGCTCAGAAATGTTTTAAAAGATTAATGTTCAGATTTCAAATATAAGCAACAAAGTTAGTTGTAAGCTTTTAACTTCATATAAAATCCAGTTTTGATTAAATGAGATTCAAAAAAGAATCTTCCAACCAACTATATTAATGATAGGTCAAGGACAGGGAGCACAGAATTTTCACATGTTCTGCCAACAGATCAGGGACGTTGGTATTTAAAACCAAAAGGTGAATCCTACAACTTGGGTGTTTCTCAGAGAAGGGGTGATAGCAAAACTATATTTGACATCTCCCTCAGGCCAAGGTCATGACAGTACTTGCAGTGAGTGTGTAGCATAGAATAAGCGATGGGCAACCTTAACTACTCTGCAAGAAAACAGATGTTCCAGCCCTACATTCCCCCTGGGAAGAGTCCCCTGAGTCAGCTCAGACATTACTGATCACTTCCCTTCCTTGCTCTTCACAACTGTATCCTGCTTACCTGCTTACTTACCATGCTTGAATCTTGAATGTACCTTCCTTCTTGTCCTCACTTTAAGATTCTCACCTGAAATTTACTACTCCTTCTTCTTGAAGATCAGAGTACATGTGCCTCCAAAAAAATGAATGAAAGTATAGATTTTTCTTTCCAGCCTAACCCCCAACTGTAAGCAAGTTGTTGCTATTGTGATTGCTGTTGTTCAAAATCAGCAGTTACCTGGGCTGTCTCTGCATCCTGCTGAGATCTGGGGCTACATAGGGAAGCCTGTGGTGTGATTCAAGTTTTACTGAACTATCACTTCAATCCTACAGCAGGAACTTCTAGAGACAAAAGCCTGCCTGCCCACCAGCTAAGCAGGTGGCTACCAGGCTCACCTTCTGGGTCTGTTCCTTCCATGGCTCTTTCTGCAGCAGCAGCAGCATGCTATTGGGAAGGAGAGTGAGAGCCTCCTGCAGAGTGACCCTGTGCATTGGACTCCTGCCAAGGAAGCTTGATGCTGGCCCAGCTGGGCCATTCTCCTGATGCCATGGCAACCAACTGGCAGTAAGACCAAGGAGGAGTGGAGCATCATGGTCTGCCCAAGCCACCACTGCTGCAGCAAATATTAACAACAAGAAGTCCAAAGCCTACAATAAAGACAGAAGAGGTCATATGTTTTAACAATTCAAAGGAACATGTCCACATACCTGAACCCTATCATAATACAAAGTTATCTTCCCTTTCACCTACTTCTCCTTCTCTGTGTCCCTACCCCATAAGAAAACTGAACTGGACAGCAAACTTAATTTCCATACATAATGAAAACACCTTTTAGAGCTGATTTTTAGTCCTATTTTGTGAAGACAGAAGGTTCAACAGTTTTATTTTTGTTCTAACATTTTAGGAGAAACACAATTCCTGATCACACAAATATCCAAACACTCCTTTGTTTTTGGTGTTTTTAAATAATTAAAATATTAAGAGGTATATTTAAAAATATTATCTGATTTTGTTTTTGAACAAGAAGTCTCAATATATTTGGAAAATCTAGAGTCCATTCAGATCATATAATAATGTAAACTCATAAAGAGTTAGACATTGAAAATAAGTGTACCTCCGAATTATTGAATTACTTTCACTAAAATACTTCTTCCTTCAATTTTAATTTTCTTGGGGGTTTTAATTTTTTGTAAAAATACAAAGCAAATTAATAAAAACTTAAGGGGTCAGAAGAGGACAGATTATGATAGCTCAGAAAAACCCTAAAAGGTCCACAGCCTCATAAAATTTCTAATTTAATAACTAAACTTTCAAAAAACTAAAAAAGATACTCTTGAAAAACTAGGCAGAATTGCAAAGAACACCCCAGTTTATGCAAATTTTACTCACTCTTGAAGCATTACTACAGAGAAAATTCTTCTATTAAAAATATGTTGGAAATGAACTTTACAACTTGGGGGAGACACTGAGGGGAGAGAAAGTAGGAGAAAGCTGAGGGAGGGGTATGACAAGAAATGTACTCACAATCTTACGTATATAACTATAACCTCTCTGTACATCACCTTGACAATAAATTTTTTTAAAAAGATGAAAAAATACACAGCACCTAAATTAAGAAAAGAATGGAAAAGAGCTATTTTCATTTTATGTATTTATCTTTTTCTTTTAAAAATCACCCACTGCAAGAAGTTTTTACTTTCCAAGGGTCATAGTTCATACTGCAACTGTGATGAACACTTCCCTCAAATACATGTGTGCATGAAGTACTGGCACATATACAGATAATTTGCATACATTTCAGGAATCTCCTTCACATTAGGCATTTTTAGTGCCCTATGGATTCTGTACATCATATTTAAAAAATAATCTATTAAAAATATTTCTCATAGTACAATCCTGGGTGTTTCTAAGAAGGGTAAGAATAGAAGTTTCCTTGTGACACCAGAGAGTATTACCAGTTTTTCTCAAATGTGAAAGGAAGAAACTGGAAACTGATCGTTCATGCCTGCAATCCTAGCTCCTCAGGAGACTGAGATCCAGAGGTTTGAGGTTTGAAGTCAACCCAGGAAGAAAAGTTCTAAAGACCTATTAAAAATGACCAGCAGATAACTGACCAGAGTTGTGGTTCAAGTAAGAGAATGCCAGCTGAGTGAGCAAGCACAATGTCTTTAGCTGAAACCCCAGTGCTGGAAGGAAGCAAGGAAGGAAGCAAGGGAGGAAAGAAGGAAGGAAGGAAGGAAGGAAGGAAGGAAGGAAGGAAGGAAGGAAGGAAGGAACGAAGGAACGAAGGAACGAAGGATCGAAGGAAGAGGGAGAGAGGCAGGGAGGAAGAGAAAGAATAAAAAAAGAAAGTGAGGAAGAGAGGAAGAAAGTAGGGAGAAAAAGAAAAGCTTCAAGTAGTGTGCTACAGTTTGGGTCTTGAATATCCTTTACAAGCCCATGTGTTACAGACTTAGCCTCCAGGGTGGTACTATTGAAAGGCAGTGGAACCTTTAGGCAGAAGAACCTAATGGGAGGTCTTTGGGTCCTTGTGGGTGTGCTCTTGAAGGGGGTTGTGGGACTCTGACTCCTTCATCTTCCCCTCTTTAGTGTACTGGCAATGCAGTGAGCAGCTTTGCTCCCTAAAGTGTGTTCCTTCTTCCATGTACTGCTTCACCCCAGGCCCAAAGAAATGAGGTCCACTGGTTGTAAACTAAAACAGTGAGCCAAAGTAACCTTTATCTCTTTGTGAGTTGATTAAGGAAGCTACAAGCAACTCCTGTAGATTGTACCTCATCAAGAGCCACATTGTGAATAGATGTTGACTGGTAAGCAATATTTCGGATATAACCCATCAGTTCCAAGAGCCACTCCATTCTCTTCAACACTCCTGAAACAAAGAAGACATTTCTTACTACCCAATGATTTTCCTTTGGAATGTAGAAGAGCTCAGTAATGACCGTCATAACTAACACAGGACACCTGGTAAGGATTCTACTAAACAATCTAAATTCTTTCTGCAATCCTTAAGAATTGTCAATGCTTGGAGAGAGTTGACACTATTCATAGCTAGAAACAGTATTTTGGTCTTTATTTTCAAAGGTAAATTTATCCTTCAAATTTTCCTGCTTACTAGAGCTAAATTATATTTATTAGAATTTTTCTCAATATTAAGCACACTAGGAAAAGTCCAGCAAGCCAATTATTCAGTAATATTGAAGCTTGAGTAATTAGTTGTTACTTAAGTGTTCCCAATTTATGCCAAATGGTAAGAATAGACGTATCCCAAAGTCATAAAAAAGTAAACCAGCCACTGAGAGAACAAATGAACGCATAAATACTGATTTTTATCCTTTGTAAAAGAAAAAAATGAGGATTCTCAGCAAAGTGAAAGCTATTTAGGAAGGTTTTTAAAAACTAAGAGGAAAATGAGAATTTTATTTCAGAATTTCATATTAGAGACAAAGGCAATATCAAGTGATTAACTTATAAATATCTTTATGCTTAATTGGAAATAGCTACTAGATTTTTCAAGCACACTTTTGTTTCAAATAAAACTAAATAAAGATTCATGTTTTTAAATGACAAGTTCACTTTTCAGCATGTAGACACTAAGCAGATACAAGGAAATAGTCTCAATTGCTGAGGAGGATGAATGGAATTTTCCAATACAGTCTTACTGAGTAATTACTACAATGATGTTTGTCTATTTTTCATCAAAGCCATAAGGACAACTTACCTAGGATCCCAATGACTTCCCTGCCACATCTGACCCATAAAGCCAGGGGCCACTCAGAATGTGGATTCAGTGTTGAGAAATAATAAGCACTGGTAAAAAAAGATCAAACGGGCCATAGAGGAACTGTGCTTTCAGGTGACTATTCAAGTGTAATGTCTAAAATGGTCTAAAAGTTGTACCTTGTGACTGATTAAGTTGAGGCTTGAAAATTAGTGTGGCCAGGTTTTAGTATTTTTACTCAAGAGGTTTTCTACAGAATAACTATTCGATTTTTTTCTGTTTGCTTATTAAATAACCACACACACACACACACACACACAAACCATTTAATTGGGAATGAGGTATTTTAGGCAGTATCAAACTACACCTTGTGTGTTTGAGAAACTAAGTTAAACTGACAAGAGCAACCTGGTGTGCTTATTTGTATCCTTGAAGGACTAGAGAGCTAAGTACAAAATACAAACCCTCAACAGGATTTATTTCTATATCCAAGAAGTGAATGTTTTGAGCTATAGCTGCTCATTTTTGCCTAAGGCATTCTTTGTTCCTGGCTAGAAGTCAGAAAAGCACTGAACTAACTTTTAAACTAGCTGAGAAGACAACTGCAAGTTAAAAGGGCCAGCAGGCAGATCTTTTTCTGTCCTTGTGGTTTACCCCAGCTAGCCTCACCTGTGTTGGCATGGCTCACAATCCGTGCATGGTACAAGCTATGCAGAATCATCCAGGCAAGTATTTCTCTGTTGTGCTGCTGCACAGTGACACTGAGCATATCAGTTATACTCATCAAGGGGAATCGTCCTTGAGAAACCAAGTACAGCTTGATGAAGGCAGCCTTTTCCACATTATTCTGCAAAAAAGAAATTGTTCAGCCATTATGAAATGGAGTAGCTACAAAGCCTCCAGGTAAGGGCAAAACAAAAAGGGTGAGCCTGATGGTATTGTTCCACATGCTAATGCTATTCCTTTCCTGCAGCAGAGATCTATCTGCGTGTCTGCTATATTAAAATGCACACACAGTAGAGGGTCCAAATGTCACCTACTGTTTCTTCAAGAAAGTCATGAATGAGTTTGGAGGTTAACAGGTTCATATGCACAGATAATAATAAGAGGATAACTATTCTAATACAGTACTTGTCATAGGTCAAACACCATTCTAAGTACTTAACATGTATCAGTTCAGCAGCTTTCAAAATGTGATTGCACAGACCTCTGGAAATCCCAAGGCTACTGAAGAAGTTCTACAAGGTCAAACTTTTTTTTTTAATAATTGCACCAAAGTATACTAGTGTTCATTGTATTATTCATTGCCAGTGATTACAAGTTTTTAAAAAATGCCAGGTTTGTTTAAAATTGCCTTGTAAATACTAAAAAATTATTAGTGTCATTAAACCTTGGCCCTTGAGTGTATAACTTTTTTATATCCTGTTCCAAACTGGGAAATACATGTAGGGATTTTGGCTGTCTCAAGAAGAAACACTTATCATTGTTGGGAGCTAATTAGCTACCCTTCTTACTTGAAAGAACAATAGACAAATTGTGATTTTTTTTTTAAACTGGCTATTTAACAGACTGCTTTATTAAAATATGAAGGAAATGAGCCAAGCCAGTTCAAGGAAAATGCCTGACAGTATTTGTTCCCAATGATAAAAAATGAGCTTTATAGTGAAAAATTAGAATTTTAGAATTTTTTGATTGAAAATTTTTCAATATGCAGAATGCTTTTCTGGGGAGTAATAAAATTATGATGCTTTGATACTGTAAAATGAAATGTCTCTACTTCAAAATTCAGTGATCCAACCTTTTCCAATAACCAATGTATGACATTAGAAAATCATGAGTACAAGACCTGAAGCCCAAGACCAACTAAGGGGTTATAATAAAATTATATGCATTTCACTGAAATGGTTGGATTATACAATACCTTTAAGAAACTACCAGTTGTTGAGTTTTGGTGCAGAATACCCGTAATTAATGAAAAAGACTATGAACACATTCTTCCTCTTTCCACCTACTTATTGGTGAGGTTGAAATTTCTTTACATGCTTTATAAAAACAATTTCACACTACATTGAATGAAAACTCCCATAAAAATTCAGCTGTTTTCTAACCCAGATTTAAATAGATTTACAAAAATGTTAATAATGCCACTTTTCTCACTATTTTGTGTATGTGTTAAAAAATATATTTTAGCATTTTTTCTAATTTTAACTCCCGTTAATGTGAATATCAGTGGATTTAATCCATATTAAGTCAGAGTTCTTTGAGGTTCTCAATAGTTTCAAAGGAACTAAGATTTTTTTTTTAAACCAATGCATTTGTGAATTTCTATGTTATGAATTCATACACCTGGGGCTGGGAAGGTGGCTTAGTAGTAGAGTGCTTGCCTTGCATGCATGAAGCCCTGGGTTTGATTCCTCAGCACCACATAAACAGACAATGCCGAAAGTGGTGTTGTGACTCAAGTGGTAGAGTGCTAGCCTTGAGCTGAAGAGCTGAGGGCCGGACCCAGGCCCCCAGAGTTTAGGCCCCATGACCAGCAAAAAAAAAAAAAAAAGAATTCATACGCCAACCCTCTGCAACCATTCATTATTATTATCCTTTTACAGGTGAAGAAATTGAAGAACAGAGTCTAAATAACTTTCTGGCACACATGAGAAGTAATGTTGTAAGAACTGGAACCTAGGGTCTGTGCTTTTTGCTACCACTAAACTCTTACTTATATTCCTGCCCAAAACAAATAAAAGCTTTGACTAACTTAATAAAGGAGGCTAACACTTTTGATGACATCAGAATACTGTTTAGCATGTGCTAGTGACAATTTTTTAATAACCTGGGTGAGTAGCACTGTGACCTTTTGCTCTTGATACCAAGAAGTAAATTATATACTTTATTTCATTACATTACATTACATGGTGTATTAATAAAATATAGTTACTTATTTGAATGCACTAATTACCATAATAAATAATTAGTGAGTCGTTGCCCTGGGCCAGGCACTATTCCAAGTACTTACTATAGAACAAGTCATTTAACTCTCAAAACATTCCTAAGAGGTAGACGCTATTATCTTCATTTTATTGGAGGAGAAACTAAGGGAGAAAGAAATTAAGAAACTTAATGAAGTTCACACCATTAATAAGTTCTAGAGGCCAGTGTGGTACCAGAGTTCATTCTCTTACTACTTTCCTTTACTGCTTTTTTTTAGAACAAGCTAATTTCCAAAGTGCAGCTATTTTAAGTATTCTGCAACAGTGACTCTCAATCTGACAATATACTAGAATTTTTCTGGGGATACTTAGACTATTGGACACCCTAGTGTTGAGTGAGACTTGAAAATTCTCCTAATCAGTTAGTAGGAGCACTGATTCTATTGACCCAGAGACCACACTTTGAGAACCACTGCTGTAGGATGCAGAAATTCAAGGAGCTAACTGAATAGGCAAACCTGACATATAGTGAAATAAACAATGACATGTCCACCAGCTAATAGTGGGGAGGGGTTCATTTTATTAGCTATAGGCAAGATTATATTCAAGTAAGTACGATGACTGGGATGTACTTAAGCTGAAAATTATTCACTAATTAGCTGCGGCGTAAATTTAACAGTGTTTTGTATTTTATTTGTTAAATGTGGAAAGGGGTAGTACTTGTTAATTACTGGTGTCAGGGCTAACAGTCCTTGTTTTTCAATCTACCACCCTTCTGCATTCCAAAGGGATAGTATCAGGTATTAGAAAACTATGTAAGAACAGAACTATTTATTTATGACTTCTATAAACCAGAAAGCTTTTGGTTAGAATATTCCCATTACTAGCTAAGCACCATTGGCTCATGCTCGAAAATCCTAGTTACTCAGGAGACTGAGATATGAGCATTGTGATTCAAAGTTAGCCTGGGCAGAAAGGTCTATAAAACTCATCTCTAATTAACCACCAAAAATCCACAAGTGCCAGCCTTGAGCAAAAGAGTTCAGGGACAGTGCCCAGCCCCTGAATTCAAGTCCCAGTACTGGCTTGGAAAAGAAAACAAGAAAAAAATTGCTCATCCATATATTCATCTATTTAAACATATACTAAGCATCAATCACATTAGTAGGCTGGCCATTAGATTCAACAATGAAATAAGAAGACAACTTCCTAAAATTAACCAGTAACAAATATAAAAACAAGCTTCAGGCAAAAGGATAATGAATCAATTCTTCAATTTGTAATTTCTGCCTCAATAATAAAAAGAAAAGACAGGTGCATTATTACCTTAGTGATATGGACAACTTGATTGGCAGCATCATCCGTCATTTCTGAGAGGCACTTTGCTACACTGATATAGAGCTCAAGATCATTTCTCTGGTAAAGAAAAATCCCAGCATGTCAAATGTAACCCAAAATGAAAATAAGTTGATTCTTAATGTTTTAGCAAATTATTAGGCTTGTTTATCCCTAAGCACAGCAACTCATGTTTTAATTTCAAGCAAACCAAAATATATGCTCAATTTTTATCATTAAAGATCTTTCTTATTTTATTTTCTCATCAAAATTCTACTGTTCTGGGGGGGAGAAGGACTGGGACTGGGGGGGGAAGGGGGGAGGCTGGGAAGGGATGTGAAGGGTAAACAAAGGAGGAGGCTGCAATGCTTGGTAAGAAATGTACGCATTATCCTGCCCATGTAATTGTAACCCCTCTGTACAATATGTTCACAAATAAAATAAAATAAATTAAAAAAAAATTCTACTGTTCTAAGTAGATTATAGGACTTTTTGTAAAATTCAAATTCAGAGGGCTTCTGAGAGAGGAGACAGGATATTAAGTTATTTGATGTAAGTAATATATTGGACAATATGACGAAGGACTCAGTAATAAAGGATAAAGATTTCTGAGCTTGCTCATCTTCTACAGGCATCTGGTAAAAGGCTTAGCAACATTTTTTTGGGGGGAGGGGGTGCAGCACTGGTTAACCTATTTTTAAACTCACTCATAACTTTGGTTCTAAATATTCAACCTCAATTTAGATCTTGGAAGCAAACACACTCCTTGTGCAGAATGTGGTTATTTCTTGCTAGCCTTCCCACCCACATCCTAAAACACACACCTTCTAGCTTTGCCAAAATGACTTTAAAGAGGCCCAAACATAAATTGTTTGGAATGTAAATATTTTTGTTCCTCACCAGAATCTTATTTGGCAGAAGGTCAAAAATTTTTCCAGAAGCTTCAGAGAGCAGATTCCAGAGGTGGTGGGTTGGGCTGGGCAGTTTCATGGCCTGGCTCAGACCCTGTAAGGCACTTGGGCATAACTCAGGATTGCAAAGCGGGGAAGCTGAATTAAAGGCTGCTACCATTAAGTTTTCCACAAAGCCCTGGATCTGTTCATCAGAGATGTGTTTTATCCACAGAGGTACAGATACTAGGAGGTATTTCTTGATATTCAGCTGGATATAAAACAGAAGAGGTCAGATGTAAACAGGTAAATCTGGGTTTGCAGTTGTCAAAACTTCAAGTCATCGCTGAGTGTGAAGGAAGACAGAAATAAAAAGGTCAGATTACTTCCTTTTCCCTCATTTTCTCACAGCCTTATGGCCCAGTGGGTCACTGATGCATGGAAGTTTGGCTGTTGCAATTACTTGTGATTCATACTAACTCTTGTGTATATTGTATCTGCCAATCTATTATTCAGCTGAAACCTTGAGTCTTTTCACAGAAGAGAATAAAATGCTACTTCTGAAAGTAAATGACAAGTGCTATTCAATTTTATAAAAGCCATGTTCTCCAGCAAATAGTTCCTGGAGATAAAAGGCTCACCTGCTAGAAATCAATTACTTAAATGATGCATCTGACAGTATTCATTTTTTTACAAGAAAATACAAGGAAGGAAGGAAGGTAAAATATATGAAGAAATGTCATTCTGGGGTGACCTCTGACCAAGGAACTGTTACAGTTGGGCATATGGACCTGACCAACGCATCTCCAAGTTTGCAAGAGCCAAAAGCTACTTAATTAGTTCTCTTACTTGACATAGACTCAAAGAAGTAAGATTAGTGGGGCAGTAAGTCTAAAAGAAGTAGAATAAAAGATAGTAACATACAACAATTAAATCAGTGACTTTCCAAAAAGATCAATATAGTTGGCATGCATTTTTCAGAATTCATTTTTAAAAAAACATACCATCTCCAATAATTTTATAAGGAAATAAATTAAAAATGGGAAGCAGTTGAGCATAACAAGGAGGATAAAAGCAAACTGATATAGTAAGAGTAGTTGCATACAGTGGGAAAACAGACCAAGGAAATCTGTTGAAATAGTTTTAGAAGGGAGTAAAGGGGAAGAAAAGTGAGCGAGAGGAATGAGATTGACTGGAAAACATTGTATGCATGTATAGAAATGCCAGAATGAATCCCCTCCTTGTATACTTTATATAAACTAATAAAAATATAAACTAAAAAACAATTTGTAAATTTAAAAAGATACAAATGAATCTATGCAACTTCAAATGAAAAGAGTTACTAAGCTCTAACAATGAAATGGAAGGGTTGCTAAAAATGCAATAATGTTTCTGAGGGCAACTACACAGGTTGTTAAGAAACATACCTGACTCAAAAAGAGCTTTAGTATCATAGAGTGTCCTTCCATTTATTAGCTATGCGAACTTTGTTTGGCTACTAATTGTCTGTTTATTACTGTATGAAATAAATTTCTCAGAAGGCAGACATACAAAAATAGCTCATACTATGATTCTATTCTAAAGAATTTCTAATGTTTATATGCAGTTTACATTTATATAAAAGTTCTTCTAAAAAAATAATTGGCTGGGTACTGGTGGCTCATGCCTATAATCCTAGCTACTCAAGAGGCTAAGATCTGAGGAGCAAGGTTCAAACCCATCCTGGGCAGACAAGTCCATGAGACTATTATCTCCAGTAAACTACTCAGAAAAAGCCAGAAGTGATGCTGTGGTTCAAGTTGTAGAGTGTTAGCATTAAGCAAAAGAAGCTCAGGGACTATGCACAGGCCCTGAGTTCAAGCCCCAGGACTGGCAAAAAAGAGAAGAGGAGGAAGAGGAGAGGGAGGGAGGAGGGAGTAAGAAGAGGGAGAGGGAGAAGAAGGAGGAGGAGGAGGAGGAGGAGGACGAGGACGAGGAGAAGAAGACAGGATGTGATTGGTAGCCTGGATCTAAATTTGTGAACAGAGAAACTGATTAAAAATAGGCCTATGTGACCTTGTGTTAAGTGATATTCTTGAAATCAACTAGAAACTTAACAAAGGTAGTAAAGGTAGAAGTTTACACTTAAAATGACCATTTTTAGGGTATATAAATTATAACTCAAAGTATTTTAAAACAAGACCTGGCATAATTGTAGAGATTAAATGTGATCTCTCTAAGTATCCACCAAGTGCTGACAGGTACCAGATATAGAGTAAATGTTCAGTAAGTGGCATCCTAAAGAAGTTATTTGGAACAGACAGGTAAGGTAATAAAAAAAAAGTACACAGAGAGGGCACAAACCTCAATAGCATACATTTTCACTTAGAGAGCATTAGGAGCAGTAGAAAAGGCTGAATGATGAATAGGAACTAAAGCCAAGAGTTTGAAAATGTAAAGGGTTTTGCATGAATTTCAAAATTTAAAGCTAGATTA